TTCAAATACATCAATAACAACCACCACAAAAATAATATTAGCTAACAGTACTTAACAGGCACCACACACTGCTTAAGCATCACACTTGCATTAGAACATTTGCTGCCCACAGCAATCCTCAAGTCAGCAGTATTTTTAACTTTCTCTACACTGCACTGTACTGACCTGTTATTTTCCGCACTTTAAAATTGAGGAAACAACAATTCACGTGAATTAAGTAACCTGTCCAACATCACTTTTCTGCTAAAAGGTAAAAGCCAGGAAGCATGACCAAAGGATCTCTGCAATTAACCACCACACAGCCTGTCCCTACAGATAACTCTGTTCTTTGTTTAATCAAAATAAGACACAAAGGAAACAAAATACTTGGATGAGTGGTTCTCATTCTCTCCTTTTCCCTTTTAGAGCTATAATACTCAGTAAGTAATTGAACATAGTGCCAAGAAGAGCAATATTTTAATGCAACATCTAGGGCTTTTGGGAGTTATGGACTGCTTTTGAAATAGACATCGTATAGCTTAAAAGTTAGATTCCAGCTACCGCTTGGAAAATGGTAAAATTCTCCATGGTTTCTAAGGACAATAATTCATTACTTTACTATTACTTCATGATTAAGATTTTTAGTTTCCAATGTACCCAATAAGTGTATAAAGAGGTTTCCAGATAAAGGAATCAGAAGTTTGACTAAGTGACCTTTAAATACCTTTCAGTGCCCAAAGTAGATTAATCTTTGACATAACTAGTTGTAGGCAACAAATCTAGTTAGATTTGGATTTTATTTTCTACCAAAAGAAAAAATCAAGTATAGTTGTAGACAAGAGATTTTCTAGCAGATTTTTCACTTGTTTCATCTGTGAATTCTTGGCTTATACGGTTACTAATTCCTTCTACACATTCAGTAACAGGATTGTGTAGATCTTAAAAGTTTAGAGGCCCTCACGAGAATATTGCCTCAATCATGATAGAGCTATCCTTATTTTTTAAAAAATCAGAGGCTATGGCCAAGGGAAGATCAGTTAGCTTTTTATTTTATTCAATTTGACTCCACAAGTAGAATGGTAGTACTCCATATAGTTTTTATCATCTTTGCTTAGAAATAAAACAAATATTGATTTAATTCCACATACTCCCGGTATAGATATTGTAATGAGTTGACTTAACTTAATGCTTTGAATTATTATAAAATAATACTAAACATCACCTTTAATTCTCTATTATTTTTTCCATTTATATATATGTGTGTGTATGCACTCATTAAGTTACAGAGTTTCACTTTCTGTTTACATATTATTATAACACCAATACTAAATATTATATTTAATTCTCTTTTAATTTTTTCCCTTTATACGCATGTGTATATATATGTTTCTATCACCATTTACTTATAGTTTCACTAACATTTTGTTCAATAATTCTGATGGCAAGATAATTATTTAAAAGAATTTGATACAGAAAACTAACTTCACAAAGTGCACCTCCTTTTGTGTAACAAAACTTATGGTTAATTTGCAAACTAAGAAGAAATCTGAATGTCACCTCTTTAGGAACCTGAGTTATTGGATCTCTTTTTTCCCCAATGATTCGGAACCACATTGCAGAACGTGTCATTTAGAATGTCGTTTTTCTCTTTGCTCATAAGCACTCTAAAATCCTTGCTTTAAGTATTGAGTGACCATATTAGCAAAAATCATGACAAGAGGTGTGACTGTTATGTGATAATCCAACATTAGTTCCAGAAGCTTCAGGAAGAAACATTAAGCCAGCTCTGAGCCATGCTGCTTAAACAAGCATACGAACATAAAGCAATCCTTGTTTAAGAAAGTATTAAAAATAAAGAATGTGCTGCTCCATGAAAAGACCCCAAAAGGGAAGCCCTGATTCCATGATAGAATAAAGTGGCAAAACACCAGTGCTTTGAAGAACACAGGCCTAGACGTGGCTGGGAACACTCTCTAATTGTGTTCCCCTTTATCTTTACTCTAAGGTATGTTATTTTCACTTTAACTGGAAAAACCTTGAAAACAATGGTTACAATACTTTTAATATTTAACTTACCAGACTAATGGATTTTTATTAGCTGAAAATGTGAGTCACTTCAGCTGACATTTCTGAAGGCCATAATATTGCCTCCTTATTTATTTTTCATTCATTACACTGATCTTCAGATAGTCAGTGTTGACTTTAGGGCTGGCTAAGATCCTCTAAGATCCTGCTTTTCTTCTTTAACTGATTCTCTTCAGCTTGGAACACACATGGAAGAATGCAGTATATTGTTCCTGCCAATGTGGCACAATCTGCTTTGTGATAGCATTCCTTTGCTACTTGGTCAGCAGTGGTAACAATGGGCAGGGAGATTGCAGAAGCATGGTGACCTCCTTTGGGGCTCCTCCACGGCTGGCAAGCATCATCTTTCTGTTCCAGAACATCATACTTCAAACTATCTTCAAACAGAAAACCAGTGGGCATATTTACAATGCAAATATGTTTGGACAAATGTACAAAACATACAAAAAGTTGTTAGACAAGAGGAACAATGAGAGTGGAAGTTTGACGGGGGTGGGGGGCAGAAGAGAAAGAGAGGCAAAGAGACACAGAGACTGGTAGGAATGCTTAGACTTTATTTCTTCTCAGATCTTTCCCAAAGTGAATTTTTCTTAATTTTCATACTCAGATGGCTCAGCGCCTGTGGCTCAAGTGGCTAAGGCACCAGCCACATACACCTGAGGTGGCGGGTTCGAATCCAGCCTGGTCCGCCAAACAACAATGATGGCTGCAACCAAAAAATAGCTGGGAGTTGTGGTGGGCACCTGTAGTCCCAGCTACTTGGGAGACAGAGGCAGGAGAATCGCTTGAGTCCAGGAGTGGGAGGTTGCTGTGAGCTGTGATGCCACAGCACTTTACCCAGGGGGACAGCTTGAGGTTCTGTCTCAAAAAAAAAAAAAAAAAGAAAAGAAAAAAATATTTCATACTCAGAGAGCAGTTTTCTCTCCTTATCTTTTGGCTGTATAAAGTCTAAGGTTGCATAGCACCATAGCACAAGACAAAGAGAGCACAGGTCCACTGTAGATAGAGACCGGGGTTGGGGGTGGGGAAGGAGTTAAAAAATTATTACATTTATATAGAAAAAAGAAAAAGAAGGTATAGAAGGGCAAAAGTCTTGGTCACTTCCCGCACTGGTTCTTATTACAGAAAAAAACCATATCAACAGTTTCCTGTGTTTCCTCCCAGGAAGTTATGCTTACAGCAATGTGAACATGCCTGGGTGTTTTTATTACCCAAATAGCATCTTACTCGATACAACTATTAAAAAATAAAGAATGAGTACATTCATATGTCCTTTGTTTACTTAGAAATACCTTTCTGTATCATTAAGTATCTAGCCTCCTTTGTGTTTCTTTATCACTGCATAAACTAATATGCCATTTTAATGGTTAATATTAATATGGCTTATTATTTTAATAGCTATATAAAGTGAGGTGTTTTGTCATATGTAAACTGTCATTATGTAATCATTCCACCATTGATGGACTTTTTGTAAATAATTTGTTGTTTTTCCATATCATTATTTCTGTATGAATTATCCTTCAATATATGTCTCTGAATGCTGATGCCAGCCCAATTTTTTTTTTTTTTTGTACTGACATTTCCTGACTATATTGAGATTTTTGTCGTAGTAACTCTGACTATTCACCGCTTACAATACTATCTGGCTTTTCAAGTCTACTTGAGACTGGTGACCTCACTGTTGACCTTATACTAGTCGACAGGTATCCATGCACCTCAGGCTCAGATAGCTTCCACCCCTGAAGAATTCCACGTTCTTCACTTTTTCTCTATGGTGGGACTCAAAGCATTAACTGAAACGAGTGCCTGGTAGAATGTAGACTGGGGGTGGATATTAACATCTGCGTATTTTGTCCGGAACCTTTTCCAGTCTATTGATTATCTCTGAGAAACTGCAACAGGGACCAGTCTGGAGTTAAAAACTTCTGGTATTATGGTCCCCAACCATGGTATATGGTCAGGCATCCCCCAGGGATCAAGCACAGAACATCGCTGGGTTTGTTTAGTTTAGTCAAGGGCAGAGCTGGTTTTGACATGATGCTCACCAAATTATGTTACTGAAAATTTTAGGTAGTTCACTCAACAATTCTCACTGACTAAAAATAAAATGTTTGAGCTCCGTATTATTAGCTTTCAGTTTCCCATTAACTGTTGTGGGACTAAGCCACAGAGGAAGTGTTTATCTGTAAGATGACTATGAACATGCAGATGCTGGCAAAGTGGGGGAGAGGCTGATCCTTTTAAGGTTTGTTTATTGCAACACACATGCACACTCCCACAGAAACACCCCTCCGCCTTAGTTTGTTCATCCCCAGGGGCACACCTCTGGATACGTGTACATTTAGTAGTACTACAAGAACTGCATTTCCTCTGCCCCAAAATTCACGCAAGGAACACAGCTGGTTCTTCTCCACGTCATTGTTACCACCTCAAATGAAGGCCTTGTCACCAGGCGGGGGCGAGAAGGCTCCGGAGCGCAGCAGCGTGGAAAGCAACCGAATTCCCCCCTCTGCCTCTGATTGGTTGGGAACTGCGAGGCAGCGACCAGCCCCCTGCGGCTCGACTCGCCATTGGTTGGGAAGAGGTGGCAATCAGGGCGGGCTGAGGGGGCGCTCGCTCCTGCTCTAGCCTGCCGCCCGGGCCGGGTTACCCTGTGGCCGCTGCAGCAACTGACTGGGTCCCTTTGGCTGTGCCTGTGCGTGGGGACAGCCTCGCCGGCCCCGAGCGCAGACACCATGGTGAGTGCTCTCAGCTGGGTCAGGCCGGAACCTGGCGCGGCGGCCCGGGACCGGGCCTGGGGGCTCACGAACCCGACCGCGCAACGCGAGCTTGGCTGGGGGGCCCTGGGAGCGCACCGCCGGCGGTGGGAACAGCCTGGCTGCTCGGCAGGATAGGTGGGAACCACGCGGGTCGTGGCGGGGCCGATCGCTGCCTTGCTTCCCAGGCGGGTTCGCGCGCCACACCTCAGCTTCCTGAGCTTGGGAAGGAGAGGTGCGGCTAGGGCGCTAGGTCTTCCCGGCTCCGGCCGGGGCCGCCAGTGTGGAAGGCTGAGCGCCAGCAGCGGGAGAGGCTCAGGGATGCACATCCCTGCGATGTCCCCAATGCACAGCTTGACTTCGAGCCGTGGCAGGTGAGGAAAGCCTAAAGACGGCCTGGGGGTGGGGCGGATGGGGACAGGGTAAATCAGCCCCGGGTGGCAGGGGTTGCGCCCCAACGACCCTTTAGTCCAGAGTGTCCCCAAAGGAGCAGCCAGAGGGCGGGGTAAAATGTGATAGGAGCGTAGTGGGACCAGCTGCCGCAGCCCGGCTCCCCAACCCCTTCCCACCTACAGCTGGTCACTGACGCTCAGCTTTCTCCCTGTCCCCACAGTACGGATTTGTGAATCACGCCCTGGAGCTGCTGGTGATCCGCAATTACGGGCCCGAGGTGTGGGAAGACATCAAGTAAGTGACCAGCCGCTGTAGCTGTGGCCCTGCGACGGCGCCCTGTGGGAGGCACCGGGGGCGGCTGGCGACGCTGCTCTCGGCGCCTCTCCTCCTGGCGGGGTCGCGGGCGCGCATCCTCCGAGATGCCTCCGCCCGCCGCGCCCGGCTGCAGCTGCACTCCCACGCTCGGGAGTCGGGACCAGGAGAGGAGGGGCGGCCGGGGCGGGGCTGGGAGGGTGAGAGCGGCGGAAAGGAGCCCCTTGGGGTCACCGCGGCCTTCCGACCCGGCCTGAGCGTGGGAACGCTCTGCCGGCGCTCCTTAGCTCGCGGGCGAATCGGCTCCCACGCGGAGAGGGGCCCGAGGGACCACACAGGCCTCCGCGAGGTTCGGGCTTCCAGATGCCTTGGAAACAAACGGAAGACCTTGGCTCGTTTTTGACTTACACACCTTGCGGATGCATAATAGTTAAGCCTTTTTGGTATACTAACACACAC